GGGCATCAGCCGCCCCTGCCCGGAATGAAAGGATGGGGCCCTGGCGCCTTCCCTTCCCAGCATCTCTTTCCTTAACTCTGCCAGGGCTTTGAGAACGTAGCTTTTGTAATGGAAACACATGACGCTTACTTCACATTTACTGATGCATTTTGTGCAGTTACTTTCTTTTTAAATGCAAGCTCTTATAAATTAAACACTAGATGCTGTTCCTCAAACTCCCGCCACACACGGCAATTTGCACAGTCCCAAGAGCCGGACACGAACTGAAAACAGCCAGGCTCAGGAACACCTGAGCCAACACCCCGAGAGGCGGGACTCGGGCCGGCGGGGAGGCCAGGTCGCCAGGGTTGGGGTGGGTGGGACTAGAAAGAGGGATCTGAGAATGGCCTGCACCCCCTTCCTGGCGCTTAGGCGGATCTACATGCCTTGTACCAATGACACTCTCTCGGTTTTGGTGCCATGCTGTTACGGAGAGGGAAACGTTGGGGGAAAGTCGGTGAAGGGTACACAAGCCCCCTGTCCTACCTTCACAGCTTCCTGTGAATCCAGAGTAATTTAAATGTCAAAAAACAGCCGGGCACAGTGGCTGATGCCTGTGATCCCAACACTTTGGGAGGCTGAGGCGGGCGGATCACCTAAGGTCAGGAGTTCAAGACCAGCCTGGCCAACATGAAGAAACCCCATCTCTACTTAAAAAAAAAAAAAAAAAATTAGCCGGACATGGTGGGTGCACACCTGTGATCCCAGCTACTCAGGAGGCTGAGGCAGGAGAACTGCTTGAACCTGGGAGGTGGAGGATGCAGTGAGCCGAGATCATGCCACTATATTCCAGCCTGGGCAACAGAGTGAGACTCTGTCTCAAATAAATACATAAAAGTCAAAATAATGTATAGACAAGGGGAACAACATCAAACTTTTAAACTCTTGGTTTTTGGTTTTTTGTTTTTGAGACGGAGTCTCACTCTGTTGCCCGGGCTGGAGTGCAATGGTGCGATCTCAGCTCACTGCAAGCTCCACCTCCCAGGTTCACACCATTCTCCTGCCTCAGCCTCCCAAGAAGCTGGGAGTACAGGCGCCCGCCACTACGCCTGCCTAATTTTTTTTTGTATTTTTTAGTGGAGACGGGGTTTCATTGTGTTAGCCAGGATGGTCTCCATCTCCTGACCTTGTGATTCGCCCGCCTCAGCCTCCCAAAGTGCTGGGATTACAGGTGGGAGCCACCGTGTCCGGCCAAACTTTAAAACTTCTACACATCAAAGAAAACAACAGAGCAAAAGGTAACCTATGAAATTAGAAAATATTTGCAAACTGATAAGGAATTAATATCTGATAAGCGATTAACATTCAGAATACATAAAAAACTCAGGATCAGGTGAGGTGGCTCATGCCTATAATCCCAGCACTGTGGGAGGCCAAGGTAGCTGGATCACTTGAGGTCAGGAGTTCAAGACCAGCCTGGCCAACATGGTGAAACCCCATCTCTCCTAAAAATACAAAAATTAGCCATACGTGGTGGCAGGCACCTGTAATCCCAGCTACTTGGGAGGCTGAGGCAGGAGGACCACTTGAACCCAAGAGGCAGAGGTCACGGTGAGCTGAGATCACACCACTGCACTCCAGCCTGGGCGACAAAGGGAGACCCCGTCAAAAAACAAAAACAAACCAAAAACCAAAAACCAAAAACATAAAAACGCAGTGTCTGAAAGTCCCATCTGTACACCATGTTCACAGCGGCACCGTTCACAATGACCAAAAGGCGGAAGCACCCGGTGTCCGCCGATGGATGAGTGGATCAAGGAAATGCAGCCTCTCCCTGCTGGAATAATTCAGCCATAAAGGGGAATGACACACCGACTTGTGCTGCAGCGCGACAGGCCGGAGGACATTATGCTCCGTGACACAAGCCAGTCAGAAAAGGACAGCTCCCGCAGGGGTCCACTAGCATGAGGTCCCTGGAGCTGCCAGGTCCGCGGAGGCACACAGCACCGTGGGGGCTGGGTGGCAGGAGGAAGGGAGAGCGCCGAATGGGTGCGGTTTCAGTTCAGCAAGGGGTGGTTGCGTAACACTACGAGCATGCTCAACCCTACCGACTGCACTCACAGATGATTAAACGGTCATTTAAAAAATACTGTTTAGAGACAAGGTCTGGCTATGTTGTCCAGGCAGTCTCAAACTTCTGGGCTCAAGCGCTCTTTCCGCCTTGGCCTCTCAAGTAGCTGGTGTGAGAGGCGTGTACCACCATGCCTGGCTTAAAATGGTAAATTTATGGCATGTGCTTTTTTTTTTTTTTTTTACCACAATTAAAAAAAAACCATTAAAGCAATATTAAAGACCATTTGCTGCTCTGCTCGGCCTGCGCTGCGTTCTAACATTCAGCAGGCCTCTGCCAGGACCAGGCTAGACGCTAGGCACAGAGGATCCAGCAGCTGCCCCGCGGGGGTGGGGGTTACAGTCAAAGGAAACGAGGTGACACACAAAGGCCACAGAGACCAAGGAGAGGCCTTGGCTGTACACGTGCTGTCCCCATGGCATTGAGGCAGAGACCTAAAGCAAGACAGACACAGAAACAGCAATGCTGGCGGGCAGGGGGGCAGGGGGCAGCAGGGAACCCTCCCAGGCAGGCAGAGGACTTCCTGGAGGCCGGAAAAGAACCAAGGGGCGCTTCCTCAAGTACAACAGAGCTCCAGGGGCCACTGGGGACGACCCCAGACCCTCCCCCACGGCCTCACTGCGCCCACAGCTCTCTCTCAGGCTGTGGTCTTTGGCTCCAGGTTCCCAGGCAGGACACACTCCCACACCAACCCAGACCCCTGCCCTGCCCTGCCAGGGTCTTAGGTGGAGCATCCCAACATGAGTTCCCAGTGATGTCCTGCAAATACCCACCTCCCCTCACCGTCTCCAACACCCAAGTGTTCCTGGCTCCAGCTGCTTTCCCTCTCTCAGTTCTCAAGGAGTTCTGCTTCCTGCCGCCCACACACCGCCAGGGCTTGCTGACCTCACCCTCGCCCTGTCCCACCACCACCAGATGAGCAGCGACTGGCTCGGTCTATTCACCACTACGCCACACGAAGCAAGACAGGCCTGAGAACAGGAACAGCAACCCACAGGCAGCTCTGAAGGGCCTGGGCTTTCAGCTGGTGCCCAGCCTCCAACAAGCCACTCCGCAGTCTGCCCTGCCCAGGGAGTCACCTCATAGTGTTTGGCCAGCTGTGCCCACACTGAGGTGGCAATGACGCCACCAACCAACCTGAAAATCCTGCAACAAACCCCAAAGAGCCTGGAGGCAGCTAGGGCCAGTTCTCACGTTCACTGGAACAGTCCTGTCAGCAGGCGATGGCCTGGGTTGATATTTTAGCTCAGAACAGCCCTGGAGGCCTTGAACCCAAGGGCAGCTTACAGAACCCCATCTGCGGCCACACCGGGGTGTGCCTGAGCCTATGAACCATGCCCACCAGTCAGAGCAGGCCCGCCCCTAGAAAAACAGCACCAAGAAACCCAGTAGCTGCTCAAGAAGTTGGGCAGGAAAGTCACATCCAACACGAATCCCTCGTGTTGCTGGTTTTAACACGACCGGGCACAACTCACGTTTCTTCAGAGCGTGGTTTGCGACAGGCGCCGTGCTCAGCGCTGTGCGTTAACGTTTTCGCTGACAGAAAAACCAGGCAGAGGGAGGCTACAGGCCTTGCAGGAGACCCTCGACGAGTCCAGTGCTAAGTGCACGAAGGCCTCCGAGGACACCTGGCCTAAGAGGTGGCGCCTCAGCCTCTAGACTCCACCTCTCCAGTCTGTCTCCCTGCAGGGAAAGGCTGGGGATCCTTCAGGCATGGGGTCCTAGCTTTCCACGGGCTCCCCGAGAGATGAGCCAAATTCAAAGCCTGCTCATTTGTGCAGCAGGGCTGACCTCCACGCTCCACGGCGCATCCCACACACACACTCCCTCTGTCCTTCCCCACCCGTCCGTCTGCCTGAGGATCTTGTGCTCTTCAAGTCCGAGCCTTGTGACTGTTCCTGCCCCAGGGGCCCTGCAGACCATTCGCACAGGGCACTGGGCCTGTCTCCGGCAGGAAGGAAGCAGCTTCATGCGCCTGTGTCCTAGGCAGCCACAGAGAAAGTACACAATAGACTATTCTTTTTAACTGCTTATAAGCAGGGGATCCACGGTTATTAAATGTAAAAAAATAAATAAGCTTACAAGGACTTTTAAGGGAATACTT